TAGTGGACATCCCTGATGTGTTCCTGACCTTAGAGGGAAAGCTCTCCATTTTTCCCCATTGAGAATGATATTTGCTGTGGGTTTTTCATAGATGGCTTTTATGATATTGAGGTATGGACCCTCTATGCCTATACTCTGAAGAGTTTTGATCAAGAAAGGATGCTGTACTCTGTCAAATGCTTTTTCTGCATCTATTGAGAGGATCATATGGTTCTTGTTCTTTCTTTGATTAATGTATTGTATCACATTGATTGATTTGTGGATGTTGAATCAACCTTACAGCCCAGGGATAAATCCCCCTTGGTCGTGGTGAATAATCCTTTTAATGTACTGTTGGATCCTATTGGCTAGTATTTTGGTGAGAATTTTGGCATCCATGTTCATCAAGGATATTGGTCTGTAATTCTCCTTTTTGATGGGGTCTTTCTCTGGTTTGGGGATCAAGGTAATGGTAAAACAAGTTTGGAAGTTTTCCTTCCATTTCTATTTTTTGGAACAGTTTCAGAAGAATAGGTATTATTTCTTCTTTAAATGTTTGGTAGAATTCCCCTGGGAAGACATCTGGCCCTGGGCTTTTGTTTGTTGGGAGATTTTTGATTACTGCTTCAATTTCCTTCGTTGTTAAGGTCTTTCAGGTTTTCTATTTCTTCCTGGTTCAGTGTTGGTAGTTGATACATCTCTAGGAATGCATCCATTTCTTCCAGATTATCTAATTTGCTGGCATACTAATTTGATTTTTTAGGTACCATGATACCGAGAAGAAAACCTTGGTAGGAATTATGGACATTCCAGTCCGCTTACAAGGTTTGCCTTTAGTTTCAAATTACTTAAATTTCTAGTCCCAAACAGTCTAAGTTTGTACATTACATGTCTATAATATGAAATTTAGATAACTTCTGGACCAAAAGATATTAAATTTTTAGACTTTGTAGAGTATTGTAACTGAGTTGTAGGTAACATTTACACAATTGTTTTGTGTTTATTTATGAGCTTCCCTTACACATCAGTAACACAAGTACCTGTTAGGTTTTATTTAATCATATTTATAGCAATTCCAAATCATCCCTCAAAGCACATATCTTCACCTAAAACCTTTTATGAGTGTGTAGGTGTACATACCAATATAGACCAATATAATTTTTAATTGCCTTTCAAGTGAATATATCCTTATCAATTATGTCAAATAATTTTCACCATTGTATAACCCTGTAGTAAAATTTTTGCCATGATAACCATAATTTTTAATTAAAAATACCTATCAGCAGAGAGAGCATGATGGGGTATTCTTCCCCCAAAGCCTTCCCTAAAGGTAGTTTAGGGTATTAGTTTTCTTTTTTTGTAATTTTCAGTACTCTTATGTGGCAATGAGAAGAATATGATATTTATTATATATTAATGATTATGCATCTCATTATTTTCTTTTACATATCAATCACAACTAGGAGCCAGAGTTAAGTAGATTTTTATTTTTAGGCTCTGTCCAGATCTATGGCTTGTCTGCTAGCTAAAAGGCAGTAATGAAGGCTATTTAGCCCACATTGCTTTAGGAAACAGGTTCAGCACTCCATAAATCCTGTATCTTACCTTATTTACACCATTCACACATGCAACCTTTATTCTGTTCATCTATGTGGAGTCTAATTTAATTTACTGAAGAGTGTGCATTACTCACTCAACCTTAATGTGGACTTGATTCAACTATAACTATTGTAAGCTAATTGTGTTGTGTTGGATCTGAAGGTGATAATGATGTGCAGTGACAGGTTTAACAAATTTTTGATTACCACATTCAATTACTTTTGGTGCATCCCACTTATCAGTGAGCCAAACAATTCATTTAAGGTTTTGACAAAGAATATGAGATGAGATGATTCATTAGGGAGACTCCCAGGACAGGTCTTGCACTCTAGATGTTATTAAAGAAATCCCTCTGTTACTTTACAGGTTGATTTTAGAATCTAGCTGTGTTGTAGAAAATGTAGTGCTTATTTGCAACATGTTCCTATCTGGAAACAGATTATCCAGCATGTTGAGATTTGCATTAATGTGCATATCAGCAGATCAATATTTGTGGCTTATGAATTCATAAATAAAATGAAGTTGTTTTCAAAGATCAGTGATAGTGAGTTATATGTTATTTACTTTATAACTGATTTATTTCTAAGTCTGCATTTGTCAATGCTATTCTATAAAATAAAAAGAAGTTTAAAAATAAAGTGAAAATCACCTATTTCAATTATATTTCTGTAACTCTTTGTAAATGAGGTTAACCAACACTTAGAAAATTTCACCCTTTGAACCAACAGAAAACAAAGGAATATTTAGTAAAATATCATTTAAGTCCCTAGAGACAGACAAGTTCTCTTATCCCTATAAATCTAAAGGTTGATGAGAATCTCTAAGAAGATTGTTACGGTAGAAAAACAAAAACAAAAACAAAAACAAAAACAAAAGCAGTGGATTGTGACATTTCTTTGAAGCAAACTGCCGTATGTATCAAATAGAGATTCATTCCCACTATGACACAAGATATAAATATGTTTGCAGTGCTTATTGTCTTCTCTAATCTTCCTTATCAAGAGGGAGGTATTTGGGTAATATTGACATTCATTGTTATGGTAATTTTGAGTTTTATATTATTGAAGAATCAGATGTGGTTTTGAAGGGACCACCTCTCAGGTTTTGTGTGGGACAGCTGGTTTGTTTTTGCATGATAATGATAAAAACTGATGCACCAGAGGTTGAGAAGTCTCACTGAATACATATGTGCTAACAGGTGAATCCCACATTAGCCTGGGTAAAATGATTTGTAAATTTCTATGAAGTGTCAGTATATCCTGGTGGTAGAAGAAACTGACATTATAATTAGTGATATGATATTTCTTTCATAATTAGTAATGCATATTCTACTAGATTGCATTCTGGTTTGTTCTAAGGCTGTCCTCCTTCAAAGGTCTGCCCACACACTAGTCCAGACATTGAAACTGTTCATTTACAAGACTGAGGTATTTATGTTCTTTCTAGGAGAAGTATGATTTAAAGCTAATGTTCTACTCCACAGATTTGTAATTTAACCTTGAAATTTAAGATCTAATTTGGATCCAGACTTTTGGGATCATCTTTTATAGTGGATGCTGTTGTGACTTCTCCCATTCCCTCATCCCAGTACACTCACCTCTAGCTGCTGCACCTACTGACTTTTAATAGCTCACATGTTCTCCCCTTTGACTAATACGGGGGGACACAGATGGCCCCTGTGCTTCAAAGTGAGCTCAACTCTGGTGTGATTCATGTTCTATAACTCCCCATGGGACCAGGCTGAAACTTGTTTCCAGGACAGACTGCATCTATGCTTAGTTTTCTTCCCCTGCCCTATTGGGCTTGCCTTCCTCTCCTTCTCTCAAGAGCACATCTCCAGTAAATCACTTGCACAAGGATCCCCATTTATATTGTGCTTCTAGAGAACCCAACCTTGGGACATTTCACGTTAGATACACAGTTTAAGGGTTAGTCATTCAGATGGACTTCATGATGATCCATAAATAATGGTGATTTATGTATCTGACAATAGTAAGAGTAGTTTAGACATCATCATCCATAGTTTTCTGGAAACCCAGATTTTAAGAATGCTATTAAAATCTTTCCTTGATTAAGCATTAAAATATGTCCAAAATGTTATATGTATCTTACATTTAAAATGGTGACTTAAGGAACTCTCATATAGTAAGCCATCTTTTGACCAATGGAGGCTGCAGACAATAGTGAAAAAAGTAATAATAACAGACTAGATGCCTTTAAATTTAGTTCTTATCCTGTGAACTTTAGACTAGACCTACAGTTTCTATGGTTTATATAACTCACCAGAAGAAGTGACACTGATAATAAATAGCTAAAATTCACTTAGGATATACTATGTATTGGCCATTATTTATTCACTCATTTGATTATTTTGATGCCCCTTTGGACATAATTATCTTCATCATAGATACAGAGACAGGCTCAGAGTCTTTAAATACTCTTCTTGTATCACAAATCTTTTTATGTGTAAAGTATGAATTCAAGCCTAGACTTACTGGATTCCTTAGCCCAGGAATTCCCTGCTGTAACACCTTACCCTCTCTGTATGTCTTTGGTGTCCTGAGAAGGCAATTAACCTAGTGGAGGTGTTGTAATAGGTATTGGTTGGACAGCAGGACAGAGAGGAGCAATAATTGGCTTGCTTTCATGATTCTTTATTTTTCACCCTATCTTTGGCTTCTCTGCTGAAAGAACTGTTTTTCACTTGAGCTGAGTAATGTTTGCAAAGTTTTCATTAGTAATTTTAGCTGTTTTTTCTGGCTCTTGTAATAAATCACCACAAAGTCAGTGCTTAAAACAACACAGATTTACTATCTGACAGTTTTGTAGGTTGGAAGTCCCAGACAAGTCTAATTGGGCTGAAGTCAAGTTAGAAGGGCTGAGTTTTCCTGTGGAGGTTCTAGAAGAAAATCTGTTTTCTTGCCTTTTCCAGCTTCTATAAGCCACACACATTCTTTGGCTGGTGGTTCCCTTCAAAGCCAACAATGTCACATCCCTCTGACTCTTTTCTTCATCACATCTCTTTCTCTGACCACAGCAAAAGATTCCTGTTTTCAAGGACTCATGTGATTAGATTGATAACCACCCAGATAATATAGAATAACCTCCCCATCCAAAGGTCCTTAACCTTAATTGAATCTCTAAAGTCCCATTTGCTATGTAAGGTAATACAGTCACAGGTTCCAGGGATCAGGGTATAGATATCTTTGGGAGGAGGGCAGTATTCTACACAGCAATAGACATGCACTAATAATTTTCATTGGTATATTATTTTGAAAAAATAATAAAGGATCTTTTTTCTTATCTATTTTTTTTCTAGTGTTTTCTATTCTACTCCCACCTCTCTCTGACAGATATTGGGAACAGGAATTAAGACTGTCCCAAGCCTGTTTACAATGGCAACCAACAGAATGTTCTCTTGTCTTTCCCAGGACAAAGTTCCTTAAGGAAGCAAAGCCCAAGGGAAGAACCAGTGAAACAATGTGTGATTAGCTTATTTGATTCAGTAGTATTGACCATGACTAAATCAATGGCAGAAACTGTAAGTACATTCACTATCTGGAATCTCACAGGTATATAAGCTTAATTGAACTGTTTTATACTTAAATCATGTTTGGGTCTCATGGATATATGATCTCATTCTTTAGCTTCTGCACAAAACCTGTGAAGACTTCAAATTTTTCCTCCAAGGTGAGCCTGGTTTAGGGTTAATTTGTTTGCATGAGATTTTCCATCATTATGAATCATTGCCATGAGGTGAAGACCCTGTTACCAAGTTCACTGGGAGAAGTGTATATGAAGTTCACTGTTACTGAGACTTGAGTATGAGTTCTTCTTGGTCAGATTTCACTTCATTTTGTAGAAGCAAAAATGTAAACTATTTAGCAGCTCTACTGTCTCATTGTTTGCTCTGTTTTTCTACAAGAACTTTTTGATTTGAATATAGCTCCCTAAATTACTTACCTTAACTCATTTAACTCCAATAATTTGGTTCTTTTCCTCATCCAGCTTAATAGATTCTCTCCCAATTAATTCTGCCATTTACCACGCCCCCCATAAGAGTTTCTGAAATATTATTTTTCTCTTGGCCTAAATTCTTTTTTTGGTGTGAATTGCAATACACATATAGGGATTCCATTGTTAAATGATTTTGATAATATTTGTAAAGATTAGATTTTCTCAAAACATTACTATAGTTTGTTCCCCAACTATGCTTTAATCTAGACATAACTTAGTGATTATTTTATTTACTAATTTACCTAATTTTGGTTAAGGTAATCCTGTTAATAGTGTCAAGGTCTTTTCTTTCAAAATCAAAACTATCCATGATAAGGGTGCCTGGGTGGCTCAGTCAGTTAAGTGTCTACCTTCAGCTCAGGTCATGATCTCAGGGTCCTGGGGTCAAGCCCCGCATTGGGCTCCATGCTCAGAGGAGAATCTGCTTCCTTCTCTCTCTCTGCCCCTCCACCCACTTGTGCTCTTTCTCTCTCTCTCAAATAAATAAGTAAAATCTTAAAAAAAAAAAAACCAAAACTATCCATTTTCAAACTGTTTTTTTTCATTTTTTTCCCTTTGGTTTTGCAAATAGTGTTATTTATTTATTATATTTTTTGCACAGCAGTTTGTGTGTGTGTGTGTGTGTGTGTATGATATAATATTATTTTGTAGGCAGTAATTTCCTTAGGCAATGTAGGGGTGTTAATTATCATCTAGGAGTTTAAATAATCATTATTTTCTTAATTTTTTCCTAACTCCTCAGTTGCAGTTTTCTGTGATGCTTCTTAGTGTCTTTAACTCATTATTATATCAGAAGCATTGCTTCTAAGCCTATATTGGAGTATTTTATAATTTTGTGGTTGTTTTCTTTGCATTGCTACTGGTTTTTTTTATCTTAATGTAAATGTCTGGAAAAGTCATCTTGGACAAATCACTGAGATGGTGTGCAGAATTCTTAAAAAATTCAAATATTGTTTTCTCAAATGTATACATGTAAATGGTATTCACAATGGAGGGCTTTGAAAAATTAAGGTACATCTGAACCATATGCTGAGACTCATTTTGTTTATTTATTTTTTAAAGATTTTATTTATTTATTTGATAGAGAGACAGCGAAAGAGGGAACACAAGCGGGGCGGAATGGGAGAGGGAGAAGCAGGCTTCCTGCTGAGCAGGGAGCCTGATCCCAGGACCCTGAGATCATGACCCCAGCCGTAGGCAGTCGCTTAACCAACTGAGCCACCCAGGCGCCCTGGCTCAGACTCATTTTAAATGAGAGACATTTACCGTAACAATAGCAACAACAACAAGATAACTGTGGTAGGCAGAGTTCTAAGATTGGTTTCACATTTGTACCTCCTGCTAGGAATTACCCTCCCTTGAATGCAGGTGAAAACTGTAAATATAATGGGATTTCACTCCTGTGATTAAGTTACTGTACCTGACAAAGGGGAAAGTATTTAGCAGGGGTAATTAAGGTCCTAATTGGCTGGCTTTAAGTTAATCAAAAGGAGATTATCACGGAGGGCCTGACATAATGAGCTGAGCTCTTTTTAAAACGATTTAGCAGTTGAGATGGGAGAAGTCAGGGAGAGAGAAGCAAGGTGCACTCCTGTTGGCTTTGAAGAAACAAACCACAAGGTCATGGAAGGGTCATGTGGCAGGGAATGGGAGCAGCTCTAATTGCTGAGGGCCTCAGTCTCCCAACAGTAAGAAAATGAATTCTGCCAACAACAGGTAAACTTGGAAGAAGATCCTGAGCCCCCGACTGCAGGCCCAGCTAATACCCTCACTTCCTCTGGGGAGACTCTGAGCAGAGGACCCAGCTCCCCTGTGTCCAAACTACTGACACACGGAACCTGTGAGATAACAAATTGGTGCTGTTTTAAGCCACTAAGTTTGTGGTGATTTATTATACAGCAATAAAAAACTAATACAACAGCTAACGTTTATTTAGCTCTTTTTTTTTTTTTTAAAGATTTTATTTATTTGACAGAGAGATACACAGTGAGAGAAGGATCACAAGCAGGGCGAGTGGGAGAGGGAGAAGCAGGCTCTCCTCTGAGCAGGGAGCCTGATGCAGGGCTCGATCCCAGGACCCTGGGATCATGACCTGAGCCGAAGGCAGACGCTTAACGACTGAGCCACCCAGGTGCCCCTATTTAGCTCTTTTTATGTGCCTTGCTCTGTGCAATAGATATTACATACATGATTTTACTTCATACTCACAATAGCTCTATGAAGCAGGACCTTTTTTTTTTTTTTTTAATTTTACAGATGAGAAAATTAAGCCTTAGGGAATTCAAAACACTTGGGTGCAGGTCACAGAGCTGGTTGATGAAGGAATTGGGATTTTAACTTGAGCTCTAAAATCACTTCACTACATTATATTCTTTAATGCGAAACATTCCACAAAATAATGCATGTCAGTTTTGTTCTGATGACCACCTGTTCAAATGCTGTCCTTATCTCATGCATATCAAATAAGTGACAAATACTAAAGAATAAACAGCCTTTGGTGAAATATATTTTTTTGATTGATTTCATAAAAAGGCCTTTATATGAGTACTTAACCAATTTTAGAAGAAAGTCTTCGGAAAATAAATCTTACTTAAAAAGTTATTTTTACCTAGAAGAAGAGCAATCTGTCTCCATCTATCAGGTAGTAATGAGAATTTTTAATTAACATCAATCCTGATTAGTCATAATGAATTAGGCTCTTTGTCTTTTTTCCATAGTTGTGATTCTTCTGGTACAGGAGTCATTCAATTATGTGTTACATGTATGATCAGTTACAAAAGGCAGCAGTATAATTTTATTACTGTGTTTCAAATTTTACTTTGCAACATATTTCAGTGTTAAGATATAAGTTTATTTCCTTTAAATATGGGGAAAGTAATGATGCATAATTTTTTTCATATTAAAAACAAAGGACACAAGGTTTAATAAGGCTTGGGATTTTATTTTTTTTTATTTTTTAAGATTTTATTTATTTATTTAACAGAGAGAGACACAGCGAGAGAGGGAACACACGCAGGGGGAGTGGGAGAGGGAAAAGCAGGCTTCCTGCTAAGCAGGAAGCCTGATGTGGGGCTGGATCCCAGGACTCTTCCCAGGACCCTGGGATCATGACCTGAGCTGAAGGCAGACGGATAAGGACTGAGCCATCCAGGTGCCCCAAGGCTTGGGGATTTTAATAGCTAGTATCCATCATAATATGTATTGAACACAATAGTAAAAATATTAAAGGTACTAATTGTTACTACAAATTGTGGGGGGAGGGTTGTAGTGAAGGACAGAATTATTCTGACTAGAATATGGAATAGAATTTTGAAAATTCAATCGATAGTTTGGCAGATCTATATGGTAGCTGTGGCCATCATTTAAAACATGATTTTCCATTCATTTTTTAAGGTTTCATGTATGTATTGAGATAGCCACTATTTTGTTTGCTTTTTGGTCAATATGATCTCCCCTCCCCATTGTGAGCACCAAAAACTAAATGGTGTAGATACAACTTTATTCTTTTTGATGGAATGGAAGTGGGTATGCATTACCTAAGTAACTGGCACTAAACTGGAAATAATTATTAGCTGCCATCACATAAGGGAGGAGGAGAACAAGTAGACATCATGCCCTTCCAACCCTATCCTAGAAGTAGTATGCCCTGGGTAGGGTTGAGCCAGCTAATTTATCAATGTGAACAGAAGTTAGAAATTGCACTATATCTCACCTTGGTTTGAAGAGAAAACTTTATTCTCTCATCATATCTAGAAAACTCTTTTGAGTTCAGAACTCCTGGAGCAGCGGGAAGTTCCAGACCTGCAGAGCAGACATAGGGTAAAAACAAAGGGTAATTTGTTGACCTGGCAGCATTGGTACATTATTCTTCCCAGTGTGACCGTGACATTTTTCGCACACTTGCGATCCTTTCACATTTTCATCAGTTCGGCATCACTGGTGATGTATCCCCCCAAACCAACCCATGCCTTTTTTTCTTTTACTGCAGAAGTGTACCTGAAATTATTTTTCTCTAAGAATTTTAAATTGTGCTCTTTTCTCTGGCATTTATTTGGTATTTTTAAGGTTAACCAATCATGTTTGACACATAAATGAAAACAGAACAGTCTTCGTCTTGAGCTAGCAGTGTTACAGATCATAGACTTTGCCCAGGAGAAACCAGGTTCTTTATTTGCAACTAAAATGATTTTTATTGGAATCATTTGCTCTGTTTCCATTACTTGACATATGTATCTAACAACAACAACAAAAAAACCCCAACAAACTTATTGTTTGGGCATCACAGCATTACTAAAGAGAAAACAATCTTAAATACTGTGTCTTTTGCTCTAATTTAATAGAGATGACTTAGAAATAAAATCAGGGAGAAGAAGGGGAGAATACCTTTGTGGATTTCACATCCTTTTACTAATAAACTATTGATTCTTCTATTAACACAGAAGATAAGAAAATATCAGAGCTATTGTAGAAATTTGAACATCAGGAAAAAAACAGACCACATACTTAAAAACAAGACTTGCAACA